CGCGAAAATAATGGTCCCAGGCAATTCCCCGGGTCGATATCTAGCCGCACCACCACTAACTTCACACGTGCCTCACATCCCTCATCCCTTAATCGTCCCTTAAACGACGGGGCGCGCCAAAAGTGCCTCAGGGGTTCTTCTGATCGCGAAAATAATGGTCCCAGGCGATTCCCCGGGTCGATATCTAGCCGCACCACCACTAACTTCACACGTGCCTCATATCCCTCATCCCTTAATCGTCCCTTAAATGACGGGGCGCGCAAAAAGTGCCTCAGGGGTTCTTCTGATCGCGAAAATAATGGTCCCAGGCGATTCCCCGGGTCGATATCTAGCCGCACCACCACTAACTTCACACGTGCCTCATATCCCTCATCCCTTAATCGTCCCTTAAACGACGGGGCGCGCCAAAAGTGCCTCAGGGGTTCTTCTGATCGCGAAAATAATGGTCCCAGGCGATTCCCCGGGTCGATATCTAGCCGCACCACCACTAACTTCACACGTGCCTCATATCCCTCATCCCTTAATCGTCCCTTAAATGACGGGGCGCGCCAAAAGTGCCTCAGGGGTTCTTCCGATCGCGAAAAGAATGGTCCCAGGCGATTCCCCGGGTCGATATCTAGCCGCACCACCACTAACTTCACACGTGCCTCATATCCCTTATCCCTTAATCGTCCCTTAAATGACGGGGCGCGCCAAAAGTGCCTCAGGGGTTCTTCTGATCGCGAAAATAATGGTCCCAGGCGATTCCCCGGGTCGATATCTAGCCGCACCACCACTAACTTCACACGTGCCTCATATCCCTTATCCCTTAATCGTCCCTTAAATGACGGGGCGCGCCAAAAGTGCCTCAGGGGTTCTTCCGATCGCGAAAATAATGGTCCCAGGCAATTCCCCGGGTCGATATCTAGCCGCACCACCACTAACTTCACACGTGCCTCACATCCCTCATCCCTTAATCGTCCCTTAAATGACGGGGCGCGCCAAAAGTGCCTCAGGGGTTCTTCCGATCGCGAAAAGAATGGTCCCAAGCGATTCCCCGGGTCGATATCTAGCCGCACCACTACTAACTTCGCACGTGCCTCATATCCCTTATCCCTTAATCGTCCCTTAAATGACGGGGCGCGCCAAAAGTGCCTCAGGGGTTCTTCTGATCGCTAGTTAGTGAAGTTAGTGGTGGTGCGGCTAGATATCGACCCGGGGAATCGCCTGGGACCATTATTTTCGCGATCAGAAGAACCCCTGAGGCACTTTTGGCGCGCCCCGTCGATTAAGGGACGATTAAGGGATGAGGGATGTGAGGCACGTGTGAAGTTAGTGGTGGTGCGGCTAGATATCGACCCGGGGAATTGCCTGGGACCATTATTTTCGCGATCGGAAGAACCCCTGAGGCACTTTTGGCGCGCCCCGTCATTTAAGGGACGATTAAGGGATAAGGGATATGAGGCACGTGTGAAATTAGTGGTGGTGCGGCTAGATATCGACCCGGGGAATCGCCTGGGACCATTCTTTTCGCGATCGGAAGAGCCCCTGAGGCACTTTTGGCGCGCCCCGTCGTTTAAGGGACGATTAAGGGATAAGGGATATGAGGCACGTGTGAAGTTAGTGGTGGTGCGGCTAGATATCGACCCGGGAATCGCCTGGGACCATTATTTTCGCGATCAGAAGAACCCCTGAGGCACTTTTTGCGCGCCCCGTCATTTAAGGGACGATTAAGGGATGAGGGATATGAGGCACGTGTGAAGTTAGTGGTGGTGCGGCTAGATATCGACCCGGGGAATCGCCTGGGACCATTCTTTTCGCGATCGGAAGAACCCCTGAGGCACTTTTGGCGCGCCCCGTCGTTTAAGGGACGATTAAGGGATGAGGGATGTGAGGCACGTGTGAAGTTAGTGGTGGTGCGGCTAGATATCGACCCGGGGAATTGCCTGGGACCATTATTTTCGCGATCGGAAGAACCCCTGAGGCACTTTTGGCGCGCCCCGTCATTTAAGGGACGATTAAGGGATAAGGGATATGAGGCACGTGTGAAGTTAGTGGTGGTGCGGCTAGATATCGACCCGGGGAATCGCCTGGGACCATTCTTTTCGCGATCGGAAGAACCCCTGAGGCACTTTTGGCGCGCCCCGTCGTTTAAGGGACGATTAAGGGATAAGGGATATGAGGCACGTGTGAAGTTAGTGGTGGTGCGGCTAGATATCGACCCGGGGAATCGCCTGGGACCATTATTTTCGCGATCAGAAGAACCCCTGAGGCACTTTTTGCGCGCCCCGTCGTTTAAGGGACGATTAAGGGATGAGGGATATGAGGCACGTGTGAAGTTAGTGGTGGTGCGGCTAGATATCGACCCGGGGAATTGCCTGGGACCATTATTTTCGCGATCGGAAGAACCCCTGAGGCACTTTTGGCGCGCCCCGTCATTTAAGGGACGATTAAGGGATAAGGGATATGAGGCACGTGTGAAGTTAGTGGTGGTGCGGCTAGATATCGACCCGGGGAATCGCCTGGGACCATTATTTTCGTGATCGGAAGAGCCCCTGAGGCACTTTTGGCGCGCCCCGTCGTTTAAGGGACGATTAAGGGATAAGGGATACCTGCTAGGGCAAAATTAATGTCATATTCGTGCTCCCCGTCCCCGAATTGACCAGATATGACGTTTTCAAGTGATTCGGTACTCGACGCTGAATACGAATCCGAATCCGACGCCAACTTCACGCACATGATTTCCACGCCCTGCTGGGGGGGGGGGTGTTTGAACACCCCCCCTTGTAACTCGGCTCCTGGGCCACGTAGCGATACGCAGAAGGCGGCGTTCGAAAGAGCGTCAAAAATAATGACGAAATCACTTCGGTCAATTTTTTGGTCAGGTCAAAGGTCAGGTCACCAGAGGTCATAGAAGGCAAAATTTCGCCGATTTCCAGGTCGAATGTCGAAAATTTCCAAGAAGCCAACGCATAACTCGGGAACCAATAGAGCTACAGCGCCGCGGAAAAGCGCATTCGATAGCCCTATTAACGCCCTTTCTGAGTAATTCTCTCAGATTTGACCTAACATCAACGGTTTTGCCTGCAGGGGGCAAAAACTGCAAAAATAGCCGATTTTTTCGGAAATAGTTTTTCTGCAATAACTTTTGACCCAAGCCTTGCACGAGCTTACTTTTACCGGCATCGTGTTCCTCTCGTCAAGACGCATCGAATGAACTGTAACTTGACCTTGAAAGGTCAACTTGAAAATTTGACCTCAGGTCAAGGTCATGACCTGACCGGAAAGGGTCATGTTGCATATCAGTCGATCCGTATCGTCGAGCTGAACACATCTAAGGCATTTTCATCGCTCTAGCATGCCTCTATCAAAAGTTATTTGCGAAAAACTGTTAGATACCATTCGTGACCTAAGATGACCTCAGGGCATAAACAAGGGTCACGGACACCATTTTCATGTTCTGTGTGTCTAAACCACTTGTAATTCGGTGTTTGGGAGTGTTTATAATGTCTTTCGTCCAAAAGAGGCGCATTTCAATTTTCTCCCATTGACTTATAATGGGGAGGTCGCAAAATTGACCTGACCTTAGGTCATCGATATCAAAATTCTGAGATATACATTTTGTACATACTATTGCTTTTAGCAATCGCTGAAAGTTTCAAAGCGATCGGTCACTCGGTGTAGCTATGACAGACATTGAAACTTTTTATGAGGTGAGGTCACTTCAAGTGACCTGGTGACCTGACCTTGAATGACCTTGGTCTGAAATTTTCACAACATGTGTAGAATTGATGTATGATAAGGTGTACCAAAAACGGCGGCGCTCCGCGCCGCCGTTTTTGAGATATTCGCGAAAAACCACAAGGGGGGGTGTTCAAACACCCCCCCCAGCAGGGCGCGGGTTAAGCATTTAGACCAGGTCGGGTCAGGTCAGGTCAGGTCAACAAGTAGGCGTCGTGACGGGTATTCGTAGTACGTGTCGACCGCCTCTGACAGCTTCGTAACATGTTACGAAGGCACCAAAACTACTTCGTAAATGTTCAAATGTTTGCTAAATTCGAATTCAGCTCCAAAAACTAGCCTAGAAGCATGTAAAACTCGAAAAAGTGAACTGAGGTCACCCGAGGTCACCAAAGGTCAATGACCTGACCTGACCTTCAAGTGACCTTGAAACCCACCCTAATGCATGGGAGCAACATCAAATGACATGTTTGAACGTTTGAAACCACGAAAAGCTTGCAAACGCGCGGCTAATGCGAGCCGACATACGCGGAATTGCGATTCCGGCCAAACATGGTCTCGGAAAAGAGGTCACAGGTCAACGGTCATTTGGGTCAGGGTCATGAAATTTTCAGGGTAGGTGTAAAGTTGATTAATTCGAAGGTACTGAAAGTTTCGTCGCGATCGGCCGCTTTTTACGCGAGTTATTCGCGAAAAACCATGGGGGGATCCATCCGACCCCTCCCCCCCTACACATGCGAGGGTTTAAGCCTGGTATGGATCATATGCCATACTACCATAGATGCTACCATACATAGATGCCATAGATGCTATAGGGCTATCAAAGATGCCGACGTGGGTCCAAGCTGGCATTAGCCCTCAGAGCTCGGTATCGAGGGCTCAGAAGTCGGCGGGGCCCATCAGAGACCAATGTAGTTCGCAAAAAAAAAAAAATCCTAGCGTGCTGGCCATCGACATAACTGGCTCGGCATGCAAATTCCTTAGACGAGGCAATGCCACTCAAACAAACGCTCAACACCGAGAAGTGTGATTATTACTGTCTGATGGGGCAATATGAGGTGGCTACAAACTAATATAAAAGCATGGGTCGGACGGCCAACTATTTTTTAGTTAAAATAAAATATTCATGGTGCCAGGGCTGTGATGAAAAATAAGTGGTCTTAATCCGGTGAGAAAACAGGAATTGGGGGTACCCGGTTTGGCTCCTTCAGTCTCTGGCCCCCACAGTGAAAATTCCTTAGACGAGGCCCTGCGTCAATGAATACCGTTTAATATTCCAGCTTTTTCAATCATCAAAGTGGACCCAAACACTGTCATCCTTCCGGCCGGAGTCGGTACCATCGAGATGGCGGAGCTGCGGAGCTCACGGGAGACTGTGGAGCGGATGTCAGTTTCCGCCGCCGACCTCCCGCGACTGAAGGGGCAGCTCCTGGAGGGCCTTAATCACCTCAATGTCAGAGGTGAGATACCACGGATCACACACGTAATGCCGGTTTCATGGACAGTGCATATACAAATGGACAGGAAGACGGCAAATAGACGAACCGCTCGGATTCAGCCAGCATCCTGTTGCGTTCTTTGTGAATATGATATGGTGAAAGGGCTGCAATTCATGCACTTGAATATCTATAGGTAGTGCGTGAATTTGGTGCATGCATGGGTTATTAGTGAGCAATCATTCCAATGAGGAATGTTTCCATTGAAACCATGCTGTGAATGATATAAATAGATTCAATCGACCTATTTGATCTGCTTTTATGCTTGTTTCTGGTTATAGAATTTTACCATGCCGAAGCGTAGTACGTGTCCTTACGAATTTGCTTTGAATAACTATGTCGCATATTCCCATGTCGTCGATATTCACATAGTTATTTGCAATGACATTTGGTGTTAAAAAACACACACCCCCCCCGGCCCCAGCGGCTCGGCTGTGTCAGTGCTGGCTGTGTCAGTGTCTGACACTCTGGTGTCAGTGGTGCAGCGGGGAGCTGGCGGCAGCTGTGTCCGACTGCAGTCAGCTGACACAGCTCTGTCCGACAGGGCCGGAGGTGACGGAGCCGAGGTGGCCGGGATGGGACGAGGATGATGGTCTGTCAGTGTCGCTCCAGGGGGTGACTGCCGACACCATCAGTCACCTGGCTGACCTGGGACAGACGGTCGGACGACTGGAGATATACGGTGAGCAGCGGCAGCACGGACAGGCCGATGATATACGAGCTCAGCGAATGGCGAACACCGAGTAATGGTATAGAGTCATGACCGTATGTGGAAAGTAATTTGAATTGGTAAAAGTACGAACTACGACGTAAAAAGTGTCATATAATGGATACGTCTCACTAACCAATTAAACCAATGCAATTTATGTTATGGTGAGGAAGAGCGATAATATGTATTACTTTTAGAAGGATACATGTGTTGAGACTTAGTTATCGCACACACAATAGGCATGGCGATTTTCACTGTTTCAATGCGCAATGAAAAGTGATGCATTCTTTTTAGCTAATTATTGAAATTGTAATTAGAGTATCATGCAACTGTCTACAGCATCTAAAGTTCTTTTTTCAAAGGTGTTTGGCTCGAAGTACATTTTTTTTTCAAACATGCGCGATTTAGCCAGCGAAACGGGCAAAAACTAAACCTAAGAAAATCGAACGTCGCTTAACCCTCGACGGACCTATAGGTTTTCTACATGCACGCCGGCCGAGGGGGGGGGGGCGGGTACGACCCCCCCCCTCGCCGTTTCGCCCCTGGTGGAGCTAGCGCGTCGCAGAAGGAACGAGCGTGTGCGCCGTTTCAAGGCGCAGAGATTGATACCCGATTTTAAGGTCCTAGGTCAACCGGTGACCTCTGAGGTTAAGTCAAGTGCTCCAAGGTACGGTTCGGTTTTTGGTGAATAACATCGCAAAAAACGGCTGCAGAGCCGCGATTTTGGCAGTATCGTGTTCGCCTTGCTCAGACGCGTCGAATGATATACTTTTTGTTTGGGTGAGGTCAACGTAGGGCGTTGACCTCGGGTCACGGTCAGGTCAGCGCCACCAGGTCACGAAGTTTGTCGAAGGAGGTGATATGGCAAATCATTCGATTCGGCAGGTCTTCCTAATTCCATTGGTGACTTTTCCGACTCGCTAGCTCAATTTGATCGGGAATTATTAACAAAAAACTAATATGACCTTGATGATGTCATAAATGACGTCACGCTAGGTGAACATTGCAAAAGTGACGCAACTAACCTTGCAAGGAGTGCATCAAATCACGATTCTGTGTGCTTAAGATAGTTGGAGATCGTTCCCTGCGCCGGAACAGGGACATTCCACGTCAAATCTCTCAAAAATCGGCAGTTTTTCACCTTACCATCAGCGATTACATTATAAATTTGTCAACGCGTTCCTTTGTCGCTTCGGACATTACGTTGATGTTTTTTTTGCACATTCTGACCACAGGTCTCCTAAATATAGATCATTATATTTTTGAAAAATATGGTATCTTTATATTTTTGATGGGCTGTAAATTTGGATGTACTTGTTTGATTTCAACGAAATAAACTACATTGTTCAGGTAATTTCTTTAACTTTATTTTGAAGCTGCTTATGTCAGTGTAGTGTGAGCTTTGAGTGTGGGAGGCTGTCTCCCCTCAGCGCCGCGGGGCGGGCCGGCCGGCCGCCGCACACTGGGCCGATCGCCAGGTCTAGCACGACATGGGTAAAAAATCGAACTTTGTAGATGTGCAATGAAACCTATACCAATTTATTCAAAAATGATCATACTACATTGCTGTGGTCTTTGTTTTCCAACACAATTGCTATTTCATGGCGAAAACTCAGCTTAAACACGAACTTCGGAATCGTTTGGACCGAACTCGTTCCCCGCACTCTTCGACAACGTATCTTTGATCCGCGAAAACAATCACAATTTGAGGAGGAATTCCACATTTATATACATCAAACGATAGCTCCGGGTCTGCAGAACACACATAACCACATGAAAATGGCGAACTCTTACTTGGTTATGATGTATCGGCACCGCAAAGATTTAAAGACGAAAATATAATTTCACATAATTGATGTCACACACAAATAGACTTTAAAAAAAAGTACCGCGGAGTACCGCTTCGAAAATCTCGCTACATGTCAATGATTCATTGCACTACAAGATCCAACCGTCATTTTTTGCGACTTTTTGCGACTTTGGATGTAGCAGCCAAACATCAACCCGCGCCGGACCGGTGCTCGGCGTCAAACGCGCCGGGCCGGGAGATGTTGATTGAACACTCCCCTTCTAACTAGGCTCTTGGGCCACATATCGACATGTAGTAAGTGGCATTCGAAAGAGCGCCCGAAATTCCAGATGGAGTAATTAGTCATTTCTAGGTCAGGTCAAAGGTCACGTCACCAGAGGTCATCAAAGGTAAAATGTTGCATATATCAACATTTCTCGAAAACCGGCCCTTACCTCGGGGACCAATAGAGCTACATCGTCGCGGGAAAGTGCATTCAATTGCTCTTTTAGCGGTCTTTCTGAAATAAGCCCTCACATTTGGCTTAACCCTCGCCCCTAGTGGTGTTTTTCCAGCCGCGAACGTATAGAAGGGGTCCGTTGGACCCCTCAGCCGTTTCGCCCCTGATCGAGCTAGAGCTTCGCGGAAAAAAACGAGCGTGTTGCCCGTGACAAGAGGAAGCTGATGATACCCAATTGTAAGGTCCTAGATCATCGGTTGACATTCCAGGTCAGGTCAATGACCCAAAAGTCGGGAAAATCGGGACCTGTTAGAACGTCGTTAAGTGTGGCTGCTATGGGGTTTTGTGGGTGCTGATCACGAATATAACGTTATTTACGATCATAGATGATGTCTTCATAAATTTAGGCCAGGTCAGGTCGGGTCAGGTCAGGTCAACCAGTAAGGGTTTTGCCGGGTATTTGCAGTAGGTGGCAACCGCCTCTGACAGCTTTGTAACATGTTACGAAGGCACCAAAGCTACATAGTAAATGTTCAAATGGTTGCTAGATTCGAATTCAGCTCCAAAAACTAGCCTAGAAACATGTAAAACTCGAAAAAATGAACCAAGGTCATTAAAGGTCAATGACCTTACCTGACCTTCTGGTGACCTTGACACCCACCCTAATGCATGGGAGCAACATAATATCCCATGTTTGAGCGCTTTAAACCAAGAAAAGACTGCAAACCCGCGGCTAATGCGAGCCGACATACGCTGAATCGCGATTCCGGTCAAACATGGTCTCGAAAGAAGGTCACAGGTCAAAGATCATTAAGGTCAGGGTCATGAAATTTTCAGGTTAACTGTAAAAGTAGTTATCGCGAGGGTACTGAAAGTTTCGTTGCGACTGGCCGCTTTTTACGCGAATTATTCGCGAAAAACCAAGGGTTCCGTTCGAAGATTCAGGCCCCGTCGCGCTAGAATGGCATATCGGCCCACTGTGCGCCGGCCGCCCTGTCCTCTCCGATGTGGACGGAGGCGTATATACATCTGGCGCACAGGAGCGTCCCCGGCGGCCGTTTGCTCCAGTTTCGGGGCCATGCCGGCGCGTCGGACGGCACGGAGTGGCAGTCGGGTGGTAGACATGTGACTGGACGTTGGGGTGTAAGGGCGACCGACGAATACAAGGCAAATTGGAGAAGCCAGCCTTTTACAGTCAGTCAAACGCTGGGCCGTCGGGGGCGAACATCACTTAGTAGGCGAGTGAGACCGAATAAAAATCGACCGCTGAATCGCAGGGTCCGGCCGGGCCGTAGCAGGCGAAGAAGACCAAGCAGATATCAAAATCCGATGCACTGTATTGGGGAAACGCTTCCAACCGTGCCCACAGAAAAAGCCACAGTGCCACACACACACAAAAAAAAAAACGAAAACAGCTGTCTGTGCGCGGACGTGGCACAGCTGCTCGGGGTCAAGGCCAATCACCGCGCGCCACATACCAAAGTCGCAGCTAACAGAGCGTGTCGGGTCGCGGCCGGCCGGCCGCGGACCATTTTCAGAAGTGGCGGGCAGACCGTGCGTCGAGTACTTGCTTTCTCGCGCGGCGGTACTGGGGTTCACAAGCATTGTTTAAAATCTTTTCATTTGCTATGAACTTGAAATTATACACTGTAATTAACGATCATTTGTCAATTATTACAAGTTCTTCCAAATTCTTCTTTGAAAGCAAATGATTTCATTTCATTCAAGAATTGTCTTGTCCACCACTACAACCGCCACCCAGCCGCCATCCATTGGAAGAAATAGGCACTGCGGCACAAAGTGTCGTTTTAACCCTCGCACGACCAGGCCATTTCTCATAACACGAACGACCGGGGGGGGGGGGTTGTTACGACCCCCCCTGGCGTTTCGAAACGGAAGGTCGTAGAGCTTAGCGGAAAAAACCAACGGATTGCTCTCAACGAGATCTCGCGATTGGTGGTATATTTTTTGGTCCTAGGTCAACATTTGACCTACTTATGACCGGTCAAAGGTCAAATTTTCCGAAAAAATCAAACTTTTTCAACTTTCCGCGGCGATTGCGGCAAAACGGTGGGAGATATCGACTTAAAACCTTCACTAGCGTGTTTCTTGATCAATTCTCTATCGTTTGGTATGTATTTCGTTTCCCTAGCTCTAAAAATGGCGCGTTGGGAGCGCCGGAAGTCGGCAAGGTCACAGTCGGCGGCAGAAATTCGAAAAATCAGAATTTAAATTTTTGAAATCTGATTGTATTTTTGGATTTGGGAGGTCCATTTGCTCCCTATAGAAGCTAATATTGCTGCATATTCCCATTGAGGTGACAAGAATTAGCAAAATAGTGGTTCGGGCGCTTTTCAAAAATAGTACCGGACGCTGTTCCTCTTGTGACGTCATAGCTCCGTGACCTGACCTGACCCGGTCAATTTTCTTGCACCACACGATAGCCAATGCTTGCCCCAACATGCATGGGAAGTTTCATCATGATCCATCAAACAATGTGGGTATCACCGGCAGAAAACCTAGGGATTCGGTGCACACGTTTGGTAACTGTCGGCCGGAGGCTGTACCTCTTATGACGTCATAACTCCGTGACCTGACATGACCCGATCAATTTTTTTCGGCAAAAGATGCGCAAAGGTTGCCCCAGAGGGTATTGAAAATTTCAGCCCGCTACGACAAGCCGTTTAGCGTGCACTTCGAAAAAACCTCAGGGGGGGGGGTTGATACAACCCCCCCCCCCCTAGGCGTTCTAGGGTTAAACTGGACTGGGAACCAATGTGTGATGACACTTCAAGCTAAATTTATGCTCATTATGTACCTAGAAGCATTGGGAACAACGCTCTGACTGTACATTTTTAGATTTTTGCCTCTAAATGGAAATATTTACAATCAAGTACTTTGCGAGCGCAGTTTAGAAGCTCCCGTAATGTTAAAGTCCTATCTCCTACAAGTATGTAAATACTGCTTTAGGCATAGGTATAGGAACAGGGGGGGACGGGGGGGCCGGTGGCCCCCCACTTTTCATAGTGGGGGGGGGCAGTAATGTTAACTGGCCCCCCCACTTTTTGCCGAACTTTTTAATGTATTTGTAGGTATCAACCCGAAGAACAAACTTGACGGTTCTCTGGCCTGCCCTTCCATGAAGATTTCCATTTGTGCTTCATCGTTATTGAGTGCAATTTTCCTCCACCCAATGAAAGGTAGCTTTGTCAGAAGCAATAAGTGGCAGCTTAGGGGCAGCGCGCGCTGCAAAGAGAGACAATACTGGCGCAGCAGAATGCGTAAACGGCATAAACTAACAATTTATGTTAGGCGGCCTTGTATTAGTTGATCGGTTACTGGCATAGGCGTAAGAACAGGGGGCAGGGGGCAATGGTCCCCCACTTTCGAATGGGGGCCAGCAATGTTAAATGCCCCCCCCACACACACACACACCTTTGCCGACTTTTCACTTCTCACGTTTCACGCTCGCTCGTAATAAAAAAGTTTTTGGATGCTTCTGGAATTCGCATGGGTGCCAACCAGTGGCGGATCCAAGGTGGGGTCACATGGGTCATGCCCCCTTGGGGCCCGGGGGCACCACAGGCCTACCAGGGGCACCACCGACCTATCAGGGGCACCACAGACTTGACGGGGCACCACCGGCCTGTCAGGAGCACCATCGGCCTAGCAAGAGCACCACTGGTCTGCCAGGGGCACCACAGGTCTCCCAGGGGCACCAAAGGCCCTTCCAGGGGCACCACCGGCCTCGCAGGGGCACCTTGGGCCTGTCAGGGGCACCTCAGGCTTGTCAGGGCCCAGGGGCACCACAGTCCTTTCAGGAGCACGACAGGCCTGTCAGGGGCACCAGAAGCCTAGCAGGGGCACCACAGGTCTGCCAGGGACACCACAGACCTGCCAGGGGCACCACAGGCTTGCCAGGGGCACCCACTGGCCTCGCAGGGGCACCTTGGGACTGTCAGTGGCATCACGTTCCCGTCAGGGACACTTCAGGCATGTCAGGAGCACCACAGTCCTGTCAGGGCCCAGGGGCACCAGCGACCTAGCAGGGGCACCACGGCCTCGCAGGGGCACCACGGCCTCGCAGGGGCACCACCGGCCTCGCAGGGGCACCACCGGCCTCGCAGAGGCACCATGGGCCTGTCGCTGGCACTTCAGGCTCGTAAGGAGCACCACAGTCCTTCCAGGGGCACCACAAACCTGCCAGGGGCACCTGCGGCCTAGCAGGGCACCACAGGCCCGCCAGGGGCACCACAGGCCTGCCAGGGCAAAAACAAATCAATAAAAAATGAAAATAGGGCACCACCAAAATTAAGTGGCCGAACTCAGTTGAGGTTTTAATTTTAGGTATAGGTAGGGGCAGTACTTCAATTCATGATCTTCCCCTTGGAGTTTTCCTGGATCCGCTCCTGGTGCCAACGCGGCTGCGGAGGCCAGGGGGACGCGTCCATGAGATTTAATTTCTGGACGGGAGTCTCCCCGAGGTTTTGGTCGATTTTTTTTCTTTACACGTTTTTTTTTAACCAATTTGAGCATGCTTGCGAAAATAAAGTGGCCGAAATCCGAGGAGAAAATCGATTTTGGGGGTAGGTGAGGTTTTGTGCCTCTGGGAGCCTGGCCCCCCCCACTTTCGAAAACGTTCCGACACCTATGGCTCTAGGGAACCAACAGTTCGCATCGTACTAGCTTTAACCCGCGCCCTGCTGGGGGTCCTGGATTTCCACGCCCTGCTGGGGGGGTGTTTGAACACCCCCCCTTGTAACTCGGCTCCTGGGCCACGTAGCGATACGCGGAAGGCGGCGTTCGAAAGAGCGTCAAAAATAATGACGAAATTACTTCGGTCAATTTTTTGGTCAGGTCAAAGGTCAGGTCACCAGAGGTCATTGAAGGCAAAATTTCGCCGATTTCCAGGTCGAATGTCGAAAATTTCCAAGAAGCCAACGCATAACTCGGGACCCAATAGAGCTACAGCGCCGCGGAAAAGCGCATTCGATAGCCCTATTAACGCCCTTTCTGAGTAATTCTCTCAGATTTGACCTAACGTCAACGGTTTTGCCTGCAGGGGGCAAAAACTGCAAAAATAGCCGATATTTTCGAAAACAGTTTTTCTGCAATAACTTTTGACCCAAGCCTTGTACGAGCTTACCTTTACCGGCATCGTGTTCCTCTCGTCAAGACGCATCGAATGAACTATAACTTGACCTTGAAAGGTCAACTTGAAAATTTGACCTCAGGTCAAGGTCATGACCTGACCGGAAAGGGTCATGTTGCATATCAGTCGATCCGTATCGTCGAGCTGAACACATCTAAGGCGTTTTCATCGCTCTAGCATGCCTCTATCAAAAGTTATTTGCGAAAAACTGTTAGATACCATTCGTGACCTAAGATGACCTCAGGGCATAAACAAGGGTCACGGACACCATTTTCAAGCTCAGTGTATCTAAACCACTTGTAATTCGGTGTTTGGGAGTGTTTATAATGTCTTTCATCCAAAAGAGGCGCATTTCAGTTTTCTCCCATTGACTTATAATGGGGAGGTCGCAAAATTGACCTGACCTTAGGTCATCGATATCAAAATTCTGAGATATACATTTTGTACATGCTATTGCTCTTAGCAATCGCTGAAAGTTTCAAAGCGATCGGTCACTCGGTGTAGCTATGACAGACATTGAAAGTTTTTATGAGGTGAGGTCACTTCAAGTGACCTGGTGACCTGACCTTGAATGACCTTGGTCTGAAATTTTCACAACATGTGTAGAATTGATGTATGATAAGGTGTACCAAAAACGGCGGCGCTCCGCGCCGCCGTTTTTGAGATATTCGCGAAAAACCACAAGGGGGGGTGTTCAAACACCCCCCCAGCAGGGCGCGGGATTATATCCATATTGTTCCCAGTACTTTCCTGAACACCGTGGTGAGTGTACATTTTTCGTTTTTTGCTTTACAAGCGTAAAATTCATCTGGTTTTACACCACTTCATTCGCCTCCATAACGGCGCCGCGTGGCGCGGCCGGCCGGCGCCCGCGGTAGTTCCAAACACTGCCCGATAGATGGCAGGCGCAGAAGTGGTCCCAGGCGTCCCGGTACGGCCACAGTCGGCAGCGGCCACAATCCGCATAACCCAATCCAACTAATAGATGTCGCTAGCGGTCAATCACTGTACAGGCGCAGGTACAGGCGCTAAACGACACGGTACGGTACTGAACAATATTCAACACCCTCCCGCCGACTCTTGGCAGAGCCAATGAATAACAGAAACAGAGCCGTGAACAATGCATATGTTCACTACCTACATCAAATAAAGTGCAAACATTTCATACAGACACACCGCTGAAACATAACACGACTTGATATTTAAAAATGCCTACCACTGAGGCAGTGCGCGAGGGACCTGCAAGAGGCACTCAGGCAGGACACCCGGGTGAAGGAAGAGAGGATGGAAGGTGTTAAATACTGAGAGGTCCAAGCGGCACTGTATTGTCGTCACGACACCCGCCCGTGTGGGCACCAGGCACAGACTGACACACCCAGCCGCGCGGCCGCCGGCCGCCGGCCGCCAGGTCACGCCATCCGCGCCTCAGGCTATCTAGCCCAGCTGGCCGGCACGGCACAGCCAATCCCAGCCACCACACCTCCACCCCAAATTTCCACTATCAACAAAAATGGCCAACTAAATTGAGACTACCAAACATAAACAACACAATGGACACCCGGAAACACCCTACGCAGGATATAGTTGAACCGGTCGCCGCTCTCGCACAGGATAGCGCCGCGATTGTTCAGGATTCTCAGGAGCTTGACGCGGTGCATGCTCCAACGTATCACTGCCAGTCGATACACACTCGCCCGCATCACCAGTCGATGGCCGTCCCACAGCGGCCGCCGGTGAGCGCCGCCCGGCAGAGGCGGCCAGTGCAGCATCGCCAGCCGACTCGTCAGCGGAACACTCGGACGCCCCGGCCGCAGACGGTGCGGCACACCGGAGGCTCGTTTGCCGAGATGGCGAGCACTCGCCGTCGCCGTCGGCAGCAGCAGGATTCAGCGGCTGCTGAAGCGGCGCCGGCATCAGAGCGAGGTCCACCGTCCGCCGATCCGCAGCCATCTCCGGCTCCGGTGCAGTCACCTCCGGCTCCGGTGCAGTCACGTCCTGCGCACACAATTGATTCATGTGACGTTTTTGCATCTGACCGTTTAACACGACCCAGTACAGTGGATGTAAACACTTCTTTACGACCGCTGTTGCCCACAATGGGGCATGTCTGCCATACTGTCTTGCCCAAACCAATTGACCAATCTCAAATGGTTGCCTTTTTGTCGGACATTTTCGCCTGTGACCTTGCACCTGCGCCAACTGATTCTGCCTCACTTTACCTTCAATGTCTGGTTTCAGCTTGTCCAACCTTGTGATGGGCTTGTACCCCAGAAGAAGTTGGCCAGGCGTCTCTCCGGTGGTGGCGTGCGGCGTGACTCTGTACAGGAACAGCCATTTGTCGATGACTTCCTGCATGGAAAGATAAGACACATCAGACAGTTTGTCCAGTCGAACCTTTAGCTCACGGACCGCTCTCTCCGCCAGGCCGTTGGACTGTGGACAGTAGGGTGCGATGGTACGGTGATCGATCCGGTTCCGAGTCAGGAACTGCTGAAACTCAGAGCTGGTAAACGTGGGTGCATTGTCACTCACAATAACGTCCGGTAGACCGAAACGCGCGAACATGCCTGTCAGTGTCTTCACGGTAGACTTTGCCTCCATCGAGTTCATCATAGCCACTTCAATCCATTTTGAATGCGCGTCCACTAGGACCAAAAAATACTTCCCATTCTTCGGTCCAGCGAAATCTATGTGGAGTCTGGACCAGCTCCTTGGAGGATACTGCCAGGGATGCAGCTCCTCCTTCGGCGGGCTCGGGCTGTGAACTCGGCACATGTAACACCGCGCGGCCAGAGTCTCCACATCCCTATCAATTCCAGGCCACCATACAGCGGTACGAGCGAGGGCCTTCATCTTTACCATTCCAAAATGACAGCTGTGCAGCTCAGTGAGTATAGATCCACGAGCGGTATCCGGTATTACCACTCGAGTACCCCACATTATCACGTTTTTGACAGTGTGCAGCTCTGTTTGGCGCATTGCAAACGGCTTTAGTGCGTCATCAGGTTTGTCTGGCCAACCAGTCCGAATGCAGTGTAAGACTCGACTCAGCACAGGGTCTCTATTGGTGAGCACGGCTAACCTGTCCGGACTGAGGATGCCAGTCTCCTTCAGATGATTGATGAGCAGCACGTCTCCCTCCTCCGAACGCACTCGGTGATGATGCTGTGGAAGAGGCAGTCTGCTCAATCCGTCGGCATGGGCGATGTCATGCGTGGACTTGTAGCGAATGGTGTACGAGAACTCAGACAATCGTATGGCCCAGCGTTTGATTCGAGAACTAGCCATTTCGGGCATGCCCTTGTTCTCCCCGAACAAGCAAATCAGTGGTTTATGATCAGTGACGAGCTGAAAATGGGCTCCATATATGTAATCTCTAAAACTTGTCACGCCAAAAATGATGGCCAACGCCTCCCGTTCGATTTGACTGTAGGCTGCCTCTGCCGGCTGAGGAGTTCTAGAGGCGTAGCCAATAGGTCTCTCTGACCCATCAGGAAAAACGTGGGAGAGCACCGCACCAATTCCCCGACAGGAAGCGTCACATGCCAGGACCATTGGCAGTTCTGGATCAAAATGAACCAGCAGCTGATTTGAAACCAGCAACTTTTTGCACTCGTTGAATGATACTTGATGGCGTTTTTCTCAGGACCATGGCGTGTCTTTTTTTAAGAGATCATACAACGGTGACAGAGTCTGGGCACGGCTCGGAATGAAACGAGAGTAATAGTTGAATATTCCCAGGAACGACTTGAGCTCGGCCACATTTGACGGGACAGGCGAATCCGTAATTGCACGGACTTTCGCCTCCGTAGCATGAACTCCATCACTGTCCAAGACGTAGCCCAAATATTCTACTTTGTGAGCCAAAAACAAGGATTTCTCCGGCTTTACCTTTAGTCCTGCCTCCTGGAAGAGCCGCAGAACACGTTCCAGCCGCTGCAGAAGCTCGTCTTCGTCGTGTCCACACAGCAAGATGTCATCCAGATATATGAAGGCTCCGGGGACTCCCGCCAGCAGCCTCTCCATCTCGCGCTGGAAAATTCCCACAGCTGACGAGACTCCCAACGCCAGACGACGGTACCTGAACAGGCCGCGATGCGTGTTAATGGTAAGCAAATGGCGGTGCTCTTCAGCTACTTTTAACTGCTGATACGCCCTGCTCAGATCCAACTTTGCAAACACTTTTCCACCCGCTAGCTTTGCAAACATGTCTTTCACCCTCGGAACCGGATGTTTATCAACTTCGATGGCTCGGTTTGCCGTCTGTTTGAAATTCCCACAGATGCGGATAGTCTTACCGTCCGGCTTCACAATGGGCACAATCTGACATGCCCACTCGGATGTTCGAACTGGCTCCAGGATACCAGCTTCCACTTCTGCCTCCAGCTGTTCCTCCACCTGCTTCCTGTAGGCGTATGGGATGTTTCGGGCACGGCAGAAGCGTGGCGACACAGACTCATCAAGTTCAAACTTAACTTCAACATCTTTCAAACATCCAAGTTCAGATGAAAACACATCAGCGTATTTCTTTTTAAGCTCCTGAACACGAGGGTCATCCCCAAATCTCACCTGCTTGATGTCTTGCCAGTTGAGCTTCAAGACTCTCAGCCAATCTCGGCCGAGCAGGTTCGGTCCGGTGGTGTCCACCACCAAGGCCGGCAGCTCCAAATGCTGACCGTCGTAGCGTATGACGGCGCTGAACTCACCCTCTACAGGAATTCGCTCACCGGTATACGTCCTCAGGTGAGCTTCGCTGTGCTGCAACTCCAGGCCGATGTCTCCGCCAACCGTCCTGACCGCTTCGAACGTCTCTTTGTTCATCAGGGTTGAAGCAGCTCCTGTATCGACTTCAAATGTCACGGGCACACCACACACCATCACTTCGGCTGTGATTGGGGGCGACTTTTGACGACCTACCGTGTAGACACTACAGACCTCGCTTTCATCATCAACTTGAGCAGGCTCATCAGTTCCATCCTCACCGACACGATTTGTACGAGTAGCTGGCTGTTTGTCCTGCTCATTTTGCCTACAACACCGGCTCAAATGGCCCAAGGCTCCACAAGAGTGACACCTATAGCCTTTAAACCGGCACATCTGCGGAGAGTGACTTCCACCACACCGGTAGCAGTCTCTCTTTACATACCGGTTGGGCGGCGGTGGAGTCGGTCTCTGTTTACGTCCAGCAGGCGGCGGAGGAGGATTGAAGCTCCTGGCCTCGACTCTGTTGACCTCGCGACTGTCGCGAGATGGCTGCTCCGTCGTCAGCTGGCGAGATCCTTTGGCGGCCGTCTCCACAGCCAGCGCGATCTTCTGTGCCCTTTCGAACGTCAGCGAATCTTCTTCAGACAGCAACCGCTTCTGCAACACCTGGTCATATAAGCCACACACAAATCTATCTCGCAGCATCAGATCCATCGTGTTTCCAAAGTCACAACGACCAGCCATAACTCTCAGCTCAGCAACAAATTCCTTGATTCCTTGCTCGGCTCCTTGGACCTTCTTATGAAATTGAAAACGACTGACGATAACTGATGGCTTGGGGTCCATGTGATTCTGCACAATTCGTTTGATGTCCTCAAATGACACATCTGAGAGCTGGCAAGGTGCCAATATTGTTTTGACTTTCCTAAATCCCTCTTGTCCAAGTCCGGAAAGCAAACGGGCCCTCTTAGTTACATCATCCATCTCAACACCTTGTCCAATGCAAGCAAACTCGAAACGTTCGATGTAATCTGCCCATGTCTCACCATCTTGCTCATGAAACTCTCCGATACCCGTCCAGGCCCCCATTCCTACCGTTGGTTGCCGCCGATTCCCGTTGTCCTCTTCCAACTTAACTGCAGGCTGCCGAGTCTCCTGCACTTCTCCGTCATTCACCATACTTCCCGCAGTTCTTCGGACCTCGTCGCCACTGTTAAATACTGAGAGGTCCAAGCGGCACTGTATTGTCGTCACGACACCCGCCCGTGTGGGCACCAGGCACAGACTGACACACCCAGCCGCGCGGCCGCCGGCCGCCGGCCGCTAGGTCACGCCTAGAGATTGCAATCCCGGGATCGGGATCCCGGGATCCCGGCGGGATTTTAATCCCGATCCCGATCCCGAAATTCCGCCAATCCCGGGATCCCGAAAAGAATCAGTTTTCAGTTTTCACCTTAAAAAGAATGCAGCCGCTGCACGAGTCTTGTTTACACTGTTTATTGTGCTGCGTGACATAAAGCAGACCTAACCAAACCTAACCTAACCTAACCTAACCTAACCTAACCTAACCTAACCTAACCTAACCTAACCTAACCTAACCTAACCTAACCTAACCTAACCTAACCTAACCTAACCTAACCTAACCTAACCTAACCTAACCTAACCTAACCTAACCTAACCTAACCTAACCTAACCTAACCTAACCTAACCTAACCTAACCTAACCTAACAAACTATTTAGCTGGCACCCCGTATTGGCCGTCCACAATCGACCGTGTTGGTAGCTCTCGGGTATCACCCACAGCGGTTAAGCCGCTTAAATACGTACGAAAAAAGGTCCCGAAAGCCCAAAAAAAAAATGCAGCATCAGCGCTGCAACATCTTTATCAGGATCACAGATCGTTCAGCGATTCTGACTTGCCCGTCCGTGACCGGAACAAAGGAGGTCATGCCCGTCATCAAGACAGTCTTTGAGCTCGTGTCGCAGAAAGATGTCACAGATGTCACGCAAGTGACGGCAGAGCTCACTGATTCAGACGTTGAATACGGTAGAGTGAAGCTCTCCCAGTCAGTGATTCTGCTCTCAAAGCGACTTTCGAGCAAATTCTGAGAGACATTAAAGGAAAAGGGCCACCTTCGTGAAATATGAAGATATCGTTGTTTTTCATTTTGACATTATTATTTTTCATTTTCTTTTTAAAACTGGTGCCAGAAGTGCACAATTCGCGAAAAAGTATTTAAAACTATTTAACATATTGGTACTATGTTGATACTCTCTACGGCACCTACTGTATGATGGCATAGCGATGACGTCACACTCAAGCCAATCAGCGTTCAGAAGACAGACTCGTCGGATTGTGTCAGATAAGCTGATTGGTTAAAGCTGAGCTGGTTGGAGCTGATTGGTAAAAAACCAAAGCCTCGCCGCGGGTGGCTGTATTGTCGGATAAGAACGCATTCCTTGGATAAGGACGCATTCCTGGCGTATTTTCTTTTAAAATTGCCGATAACTACGAATGGAGGCCGAAATCGGCCGTAAGGAGGTAGACAGATAGGTTTTCGGACACGGGCTACAAGATGGCTATCTCAGTTTCAATCCCCATGTTAAAGGTGGCCCTTTTCCTTTAATGATGAAAGCGGAACCGGAAGGAGGTAAAGTGACCAAGCGACGTTTTGAAAACACTGTGAAATAGGGAGCTGCCAAAGTTGGCGTACACTGGTTGCGAGTTTTTAAGTAGACCAACATGGCAATGGCAACTGTCGCGCTAACTACGAGTAGCGTAGACGAAGAGTGAGTGAGGCGTGGATGTGCTGGAACCTGTCTAGTAAACGATCTGGTCGACGCACAGTTTTATGAAGGCCAATTGAGAATAAATGCTAATGCTAATCAAATCGAAACGTTTTATTCGCAAATTCAATCGTTTTTAATGCAAATGACATGGTCTTTTGGTTGCCTCTTTGTTTGTGGTAAGCTTAAAGACGCAAAATATGTCAGTAGGAAATCACTCTTACGACATTTAGTGACAATGCCGGGATCCCGAAATAAAAACTTTCGGGATCCCGGGATTGGCAAAACGTTCCGGGATTGCAATCTCTAGTCACGCCATCCGCGCCTCAGGCTATCTAGCCCAGCTGGCCGGCACGGCACAGCCAATCCCAGCCACCACAGAAGGACTTCAAGGTTAGGCGTCAGAGGTCCCGGACAATCTGGAGTGTCACCCTGAAAGGTGAGTGGTCGCGAGTTAACCCGCGCGGGGCTGGGGGGGGGGGGGGGTAAATTTTACCCCCCCTCGCGAATCTTTGCGATGCGCCGCCAAGAAAAGGTACTTTCAGTACCTTTTCTTACATCAATTTGACACGTTCCCTGAAAATTTGAGCGAAATCCGTCGGAAATTTTTGAGAAATTGACGTTTTAGTGACGTCATGTTCGCCATTTTCGCCTCAAAAACGGCAAAAGTTCAAACGCCGCTAACATCTTCATTTTTAAAGGAATCAAGACGTAACAAAAAGGTTATACGTAATTTTACTTTGTCTATCAAATGGCTATCTCGGTTTTTTGAAAATTTCGGATTTTGGCCTAAATTTTTTTCAAAAAACTGACTTTTTTGGGAAAATCATTATGAAATGCAAAATTTTGAGTCTATCGAAAAAACCGGAATATATGTCAGAGAAGTGGTCTATGTGCACCTACATACCAAATTTTAGAAGAATCGGTTCAAAAATGTGGGAGTTATTCAAAATTTTATGACGTCACGACACGCAAAATTTTTGAAAAATGACTTTTTTGGAAGTTCTAGACCTCGTACGGAAACAAAAATAGCACCATTCGATTCGCCGTGAAAACTTGCATCAGATAGACACCTTTTTAGGCCTTAACAACCAACTTCAAAATTTGACCTCACTTGACCTGACCTTGACCTGACCTCGACCTGAAATTCATCCAGAGGTGGTCCATATCACTTATTGAGTGTGCCTATTGAATTCTATGAGTAAAATGACCCATAAAACATGTGTCGCACATGCCCTTTTCTATATTTTGTTTTTTTTTGGTGACCTGACCTGACCTGACCTGACCTTGACCTTGACCTTGACCTCTGAATGATAGTGTATGCAACGAATATTGTCTTGGTAGCCTAAGAACACGTTTTGGGCGATCAGTCTCAGTCCATGACTCCATTCTTCGGCAACTACGGTGCAAGGCCGATACTGTAGAAACTTGCAATTTGTACCCTTGACCTGACCTTGACCTTGACCTCAAACTTTAAATTAAGTACATGTTTTTAGTAGTTCGTGATGAGAGCTTTCGATTGGCGTTTGAATTTTCTAAATCGGACCATTAGTTCGGGAGATAACAGGGGGGGGGGGGTAAAATTTACCCCCCCAGCCCCGCGCGTTCCGCTGGAGACCCCAGCCCCGCGCGGGTTAATGCAAGCCTCGACCTCACTCAGCACGGTGTCCAATACAATGCGCGTCAGACAGCGCTTTCCCAGTGACTTACGAAGCGCGACCTTGACTGAACGTATAAGACGTTCCCACCAACCTCCCCACCACGGGGAGAGGGGGGCGATGAATTTCCAACAAGAAGAGAGCCGCCCAAAGTACTTGCGAAGCTTAACGTCGGCGCCTTTGAAGGTGGTCGCGTTGTCGGAATAGACAGTGGACGGCACACCTCTCCGAGCAGCAAACCTGCGGAACGCCAGCATGAAATGCGGCAGCGACAGCGATTCGGTCAGCTCCAAGTGCACGGCACGAGTGACCGCGCAGGTAAACAGACAAACTATAACTTCTTCCGTGGGAAATCAACAGAAAACAGTGGCCCTGCGAAGTCCACGCCAGTGACTGAAAATGGCGGGGCAGGAGACACCCTATCCCGCGGCAGAGGGGCGGTCTGCTGCGAACCGGCCCTGGCATCCTGCCAACGGCACGCCAGACAGCCACGAACAACGCGGCGAGCAATGGCTCTGAGCCCCAGCACCCAAAACTCAGATCTCACAGCAGTCAGCAGGGTGGCTACACCAGCATGATGCATGAGGTGGTGCTGCTCACGAACGAGCAAGTACGACAAGTGCCCTTTGGGCAAAATAATAGGATGCTTTTCCTCATAAGATAGCTGACTAAACTGGAGTCGCCCTTGAACACGCAGCAGACCATCAGACAAGAAGGGCGAGAGCCTGTGAAGTGGCGAGCTGGCTGGAACTTTACCACCCATCCTCAGAGCTGTCATCTCAGCATGAAAACTCTCAACCTGTACAAGGCGAAACAGAGCGTTCCGCGCATCAGTCATCTCAGCACACGTCAGGTCTTGCTCGCTGCAGCGGTTCACACCACGAGCGTTCCGGACAAATCTCTGAACCCAACCCATCACTCGGGTGGCCTTGTTCAGTGATCCAAATCTGTCGAGGTCTAACAACCTCGTCTGGACAGAAGCACGGTCACTTGGACCATCGTCACGGGGCGGCGCCGCCGCACCGACTCCTCCGTCAGGGGGCGGTGCGGTCAGAGAAGTGGTCTATGTGCACCTACATACCAAATTTTAGAAGAATCGGTTCAAAAATGTGGGAGTTATTCAAAATTTTATGACGTCACGACACGCAAAATTTTTGAAAAATGACTTTTTTGGAAGTTCTAGACCTCGTACGGAAACAAAAATAGCACCATTCGATTCGCCGTGAAAACTTGCATCAGATAGACACCTTTTTAGGCCTTAACAACCAACTTCAAAATTTGACCTCACTTGACCTGACCTTGACCTGACCTCGACCTGAAATTCATCCAGAGGTGGTCCATATCACTTATTGAGTGTGCCTATTGAATTCTATGAGTAAAATGACCCATAAAACATGTGTCGCACATGCCCTTTTCTATATTTTGTTTTTTTTGGTGACCTGACCTGACCTGACCTGACCTTGACCTTGACCTCTGAATGATAGTGTATGCAACGAATATTGTCTTGGTAGCCTAAGAACACGTTTTGGGCGATCAGTCTCAGTCCATGACTCCATTCTTCGGCAACTACGGTGCAAGGCCGATACTGTAGAAACTTGCAATTTGTACCCTTGACCTGACCTTGACCTTGACCTCAAACTTTAAATTAAGTACATGTTTTTAGTAGTTCGTGATGAGAGCTTTCGATTGGCGTTTGAATTTTCTAAATCGGACCATTAGTTCGGGAGATAACAGGGGGGGGGTAAAATTTACCCCCCCAGCCCCGCGCGTTCCGCTGGAGACCCCAGCCCCGCGCGGGTTAATGCAAGCCTCGACCTCACTCAGCACGGTGTCCAATACAATGCGCGTCAG